CGCAAATTTGGCTCTCTATTTGAAGACTTCAATCCATTTGAATTTCGTCCCTGAGCTCCACCGCACGACATCAAAACAACTACGATAAATTAAAAGTAAATTGTAGGTTCTGTTCTCCTGATGGTGTCGGACATGTGTTTCGTTCTTACACCAATCACCTGCCAGTGATCACGTACAGCAGCGTTCTTTATACATTCATAACCACTGAACTTGCATATCGATACGGTACCAGTTTCCCTTTCTGTTAGATTGAAATAATTCAGTTGAACAAAACAATTTAGTTCCTGGATATCCAGCTGCCTGAATGGCTTCTGCATATGGTCACTACTGTCGGCAAGCATAATGACATAGATTGAAATAACTTTTCTCTTATTGAACATCACCTAGTTTGATAAAGTTTTTCATTGGTGTAGACTCATTTTTATTTTCGACTCCACATTCACTTCATTATATGAACCAGAAATTTGGTGTGTCGGTTTGTCGGTGTGTGTCGTTCTGTCCGTCCGGACCAACCGCTCACAAAACCAGGGAGTACGAAGGGCAACACTTCGTGATGTTGATGTCATGATCATGATAACACCCACAGCGGCTATATAAACACCGATCGAGCACACTCAGTCTCATTCTACATGGTGCTGCCGTGGCAGCCGGATGAGCGGGGGGGGGGATTAGAGGGGGGGTAGAAGAAGAAGGGATTAGAGGGGGTGGTAGAAGAAAAAGGGATAGAGGGAAGTGGGCAAGAGAGGGGGCTGGAAGGAAGGGGGTGAGAGAGAAAGAGTAAGGGAAGGGGAAGATGGCGCTGCTATGCGCCGGAGAGAAGGGGTATAAGGAGGTATAACACATTCAATAGTGAGGTGGTTAATGGAGTACGTCATGCTGCTATTCCGTGGTTCCTCCCTACCCTGTGATGCGCGTGATAGCGGGCGGAGCAAAACTGGTCTTTCAATAAACTGCCTACATTGGAGGCTTTTCTGACCACGGAAGCCATTAGGGCTGCTCTCACGTGATCTTCACGCTACTCTCAAAAGTACTCATTCGAAAGGATGAGCTTCAAGCATAAGTGTGCATTTGTGGTTCTACAGGGTGGGCCAAACTTATGGCTAACCAAGATATTGAGTCGAGAAAGACAATATAACCGTTGTCAAAAAGCAAGGGTAGGTTAAGTCTGAAATCTGTTACATACTTATTGCTTTGATGTAGGCCTCCAGGTCCGGATCAAACTATCAATTTTTGCGACCCTACGCTCAAGGGGGTTCATTTGCGACCCCATCCTGTTGTTTTTTGAGCGAGCCTTTATACAGAACCACCAAGACGAATCATTTGAAAACGGAAGCACATTACGAGACTCGGGAAACATTATATAGGATAGTTACCTACATAGAGGATATAGAGGATCGTCGGAGAAGATTTCATGTAAGTAGGTATGTGTATGTAAGTCCCAAAACAAGCTTGAAACTCTCGAGCTTCGCTTGTAGAGCTGGCTAAACATTTATTTCTCTTGAAGTCAATATGCTGTTTACTCCTCAGGTTTTTGCACTGTTCAAACGTAGGGCAAAAAGCAGTTATTGTGTTATTGGATAATGTGACTAATGTGATTATGGATTGTTTGATTGTATGTAATAATGATTACAATTTTTCCGCCTGCCTGCGAGCAGCGTCCCAAATGAATCAATAAATATATAATTTCTAATGATATAGGGAGATTTGGAATGTGTACGTTGTATGACGTTCGATTCCTGGAAAATTCTAAGGCTTCCTCACAAGCCGGCGAGTGCTTCTGTTACGAAATGTAAGCTCGACTTTCTGAGGAAGCGAACATTTTGTTCATAACGTCTACACATATGCGAAGACTTTCGTTTCTTGAGGATGGGTTAGTGGCAATTATAGCATGCAAAAAAGGTGCAGAGAAAAGGTATCGAGGGCAGCTCTGTGGATATCCACCATTGGTCTACAACTCGAATAATTTTACGGTTGAGTAGATTTTCTTGCCAATGCTACTAAATGGAAATGAAACATGCTCACTCACTAAAAATGTCCTCATTTCGCTTGGCAACACTTTGTCAGAAAATTGGCTGGCATTTTCCTATGATTTCTTTTTACAAAATACTAGTCCCGAATCTTCCAAACATGGTTTATCACAAATGTTCTACAAAACAAGTCGAGCTGCGAGCATCGAGACATTGAAGTTGGATGAGGTTTTGATTTCCGTGCTCCTCGAAAAATTATAATATTTTCTCGTGAAGAGGCGCTTATCACTTTCTGATAGCAATCATAGTTCATTACAGCACAATCAGCTGTAGATTCCTCTAGTGAATCAATGGTATTAAAGTGACCTCGACAAAATTCCAGTGTAAACAGACACTTCGACAATTCTTGCATATCTTTTGCTAGGAGTTTTCCTTCATAGAAGTCTGACAACCAAACCAAATTGCATTCAATGTAGGCCGCGTTCTCTGAAAAATTTTGAAAACGAGTCGGCCCACCGGGTTGCGGTCGTCCCAAGGGTCTCGTTTTGTCTCTTGGGAGCCACTCCGTCACGCGTAGACTCCATCTGTCATCAGTGCGGCGAAGTAAATGACCGGCCCATCGATGCTTCAACTGCGCCATGTAAAGAAGCGGATCTTTCAAGCGTGATCGTTCCTTCAATTTCTGAGCTACGTATGCTTTGCTGCCATTGCTGTCGTCTGCTAATCTTTAGAAAACACCTTTCTAATGCACGATGAGCAGTTTGCATGGCCTTGGCGATTGTCTTGTTGTTGGGCCAAGTTTCAGTTGCGTAGCACATTGCCGGCAATACTGAGGCGTTGAATATCGAAGGCTTTTAGTTCTGGATCATTTACTTGATCTGTTACTTCGCGAATCGATCCGAAAGCTGCCCATGCTGCACGTTTTCTGCGGCATATTTCAGAAATGATATTATTCGTCATGTTCAGCTCTCTTCCTAGACTCTTTCTAGAGCTCTTCCTGCCAATTTTATTTCTCCCATATCACTCCACTGGTTCACCATCATTTGCGTTTTGGACATATTCATTTCCAACCCTATCTTCAGACCTACCACATTGAGTTCGTTGATCATCTCTTCCATTTCAGCTGTGTTAGTGGAGACTAGAACGATATCCGTGTCTCCTTGCCTTACTCCTTTTTCAATTGGAATCTTCATCTTGCGGTCGAACAACTGGATGTTTGTTGATGTATTCGTAAAACATTGTTCGAGCAAATGGATATATGCAGGGAGAACTCCGGCTTGCGTAAGGGCATTCAAAACAGCGTTGACTTCGACTGAGTCGAATGCCTTCTTGTAATCCACGAAAACAAGAACCAAGGGAAGGTGATACTCGTGACTCCTCTCGATGAGCTGGGTGACTGCTTGTATGTTATCCATGCATGAAAAGTTCTTTCTAAATCCGGCCTGCTCCACTGGCTGGTATTCATCCAAAGTGCATTCCATGCGATTGAGCAGTATTTTCGTGAATGTTTTGTAAACCACCGAGAGAAGACTTATGGTCGGTAGTTAGCGATGTCCTCACGCTGTCCTTTCTTGAATAGGAGAACTGTTTTTGATCCCTTCCACTGCTCTGGAATCTTCCTTATTTTGACATAATGGTTGAAGTGTCTTGCGAGAAAAGTGTGTAAGGCGGTATTTCCAGCACGAAGTAAATCTGCTGGTATGTGGTCCGGACCTGGGGCAGTTCCTTTCCTCATGCCTTTTATCGCATTCGCCACTTCCGATTCCAGGATAGTAGGAGGATCCTCCGCAAGCGGTATCGAGCATCTTGGGACAATTGTTGAAGAACGGAAGAGTTCAGTGTAGAAATCGCAGACGATGCTCTCCATTGATCTTCTTGATATTTGTATTCTCCCATCTTTGTCCATGAGGGCTGACATGACGGCCTTTTGATCGTTCAGATCACGCTTGCAGCGCTTGATGCTAGATTTTGTTTCCGCTGCTTTCAATAATTTAGTTCTTCTATATATTCGAAGCGATTCCTTAACTGCTATGCGGCATGCTTTGTTGATGGTGACTTTTTCCAAGTGAGTGGCGGTGAGATCCTGCTTCATAGCCTTGCGTTTTTCCAAGAGTGTGATGGCAAGAGCATTCAGTCTTGGGATAGAGTCTGATTGTGAGTGTCGAGAGATATCTGCACAATTTAGCAAGCCTTTGGCAAGATGTTCATAATCTTCCGTTGGGTCATCTAGTAGGCTCCAATTGTAAGCTTCGACTGCGGACTCTAGTACATTGGTATCAAACGAAGGGATCCTGAAGGGTGCGGGCCAGGGTCAAGCGAGGCGTCGAGGAAAATTTGGAAATACGACCCCCCCCCTCTGCCGAGGCCGAAGTCCATGAAACGACCCTCTTCAAAAGCCGAACTATGAAAAGGTTGTTTAATTCTCCCCAAAACTGTTCATAAAAAAGCCCTGCTACCCCACCGTCCACAAAAAATTCGTTTAAGAAGTACAAAAGTGAAAAAGTCAAAGAATGATCATTATTGATGAGTCCTACCAAACGAGCAAACGAGAAACGGAGCAAAAAACGACAAACTAGTCACTAAAAATGGCATACTATGACAACATCTCTTCTTTATTTATTTCCTCCACAAGACTTACCAAATTCTAGTACTACACAGATTATGGTTCTCAATTTACACGTCCCCCTTTCGCTCAAAGAAGCCTTGTAACCGCCTTCGCCAGCTGTGTGTTGACTGGACTTTGGCGTTGACCGTGGAGCAGCTTATTTACTATTGAAATTTGAACAAATATTCAAATGATTATAACTTTCTTCAAAGTTAACGAATTTTCAATCTGAAAGCTGATTTGGGAGTTTTGTGAAGAGCTTTTTCTAATCAGTACTGAAATTACAGGAAGTTATAAGAAATAACAAATTTAGATCAAATAACGAGGAAAATTCGAGACGAGCACGAGTTTTTACACTTTCCGGAGCAATAACTTGCTTCATTTCCGTCAAATTCAAAAAGTTGATACGTCATACAAAACTAGAAGATTTTCTCTATCAAACGGTCGCTAAAGCAGCTTCATACGTCCAGTACTCAAAAAATGGCCACGTTGAGGATTTTTGCAAAATTAACGAGGAAAATTCGTGATGAGTGCGAGTTTTTACGCTTTCCAAAGCCATAACTCCGTTCAAACTCATGCAATCTGGAAAGTTAATACGTCATCATAAACTAGAAGATTTGCTCTTTCTATAGGCAACTAAAACTGCTAAATACGTTCACTATTTAAAAAATGGCCACGTTGAGGATTTTTGCCCGAGTACCGCCGAAAGGTACTTTTTCGCTACATTAGCACTATCCCAACGACTATAGCTCCTTGCAGGAGCGATTACATACTGAAGTAGGAGCAGATTCAAAATCCTCGTGCTTTTCTCTCTGCAAAAAGTGTAAAATTGTTTAGCGGGTCTCAACTTTAAAGGTTACATGCTTGTGAATTTGACGCTGAAGGCTGCGTTTCTTGTTGAATAGTGTACTCCTCTCTGTAATTTAACATGAACTCTTTCAGAACCCTCTTGATTCTTCCTGAATTAAGATTCGTTATCAAGATAGCCGTAGCTGAAGCGCGCAACCAACTGGGCCCACTCTGGGATGCGCCGTGTGCTTCACATCTCGTTGGATTTGAGGACCTACTTGAAAGATAAAATATCCCTAGAAAACGTGCGAATTTCGGATCCTTTGACTTGTGTGGTGATGAAACACTAAAGTCACTAAGAATTGCTAAGCGGACACCTCTAAATCACGAAGATTTTGTGTGGACGGAATCAATTGTTATTGGAAATACTCTGGCCTGGTATCGATTCGATCCTTAATGTTTGTCCTCCGACGATGATCCTACTGTATCAATCGGGCCCGATCTCTCCCCAGCGGGCCAATACGACCCCCCCTCTGTGACATGTCGAGGATTCCTCAACGCACGCTTGACCCTGGTGCGAGTCGCGCTTAAATATTTTCCTATTGAGGCGTATCTTTGCGCGTACGAGACGATGATCTGAGCCAGTCTCAAATGATGGCAACACAGATACGTCGAATAGGCTTCATCTTCCGGTTGGTAAAAACGTGGTCTCCGTGCGTGTCTGCCCATTTGGGCTTTCCCATGTCCATCGTCGTCTAATTGGTTTTTCAAACATGGAATTCCCGTGGAAAAGGCGGCATGAGGACAGCAAGTCTAGTAATCGTTCTCCATTTTCATTCCTGTCGTTTGATCCGTGAGGCCCTAGCCTCCAATCGCCATCGCAGTTCGTACCTATTGTGGCATTGAAGTCGCCCACAACAAACTTGTAGTAGCTCTCTCTCAGATCGTCAACTCCAACAGTTCATAGAATTCTTCGCGTTCTTCATATGTGGCCGCAGAGGTGGGTGCGTATCCATTGATGATGGATATTACATCCTGTCCTCTGGTTCGGAGACGTAGAACTGCAAGGCGTGGACTGACGATTTTGTGAGACTCTACCTAAATTAGCAATAGTGGAGTTGACGAGGAATCCAACTCCGCCGACATTCACGTTGTCCACCTTGGCTCCGATGATGAGTAGCTCATTGTGGTCAGTTTTTCTAATGGTTTCCTTTCTGCCTTTTGTCTCCTGTAGAGCAATAACATCATACTTGATCAGTCGACTTCTCAGTAAAAGTATTCGTAGATCGCTTTCTGATGCTATAGTGCGACAGTTATACGAGCAGACGAAAAGGCAGTCCTTGTGTCGTGGTATGAGGAGATTTCCTATATTCCGATTCCGATGACGTCCTGATTCCCTTGCGAGATTAGATGGCCCCTCACCAGCAGAGGCTGCCCCCGACGTCGGAGGGGAGCTTATCCGGTGTGCGCAGGACTGGGGCTCTAGTATAGCTGTTTGAGCAATTTGGTTGGCTTGGTTACTCCCTTGTTCCTTGCTAGGGATACAAAAGAGCCGCCCATACACATATTAATGCGTACTGCGTAGCCGTTTGTACCGTTAGCCACCACTTATTATCGTGGTGTTACACCCTATCACCGGGATGAGGTGGTACATGATAGGGTCTCAAGGTAATAGTAGTTGCAAAATCTCATCGAGTAAACATAAAATGCCGAGAAAAAACATGTAATGGAAATATGATTTCCCGGGAGATTCAAAGTGAGTATTTTCAAAAAAAAACAATAATAAAATAGCTGTTTTCTCAAATCAATGTCTATTCTCGGATCAGCTTTGCTTTGACATTATTTCTGAGATTGTGACCGTAGCCACGTATTGTTCTAATTTTCGCCCGCCTAGCTCCTCATTCGATAAAAATGACGGATTGGTCGATGCTTGTGACATTTGCTCGATATCTTACCCTTTGATAGTCACAGGTAATTTCAATTTGAATGTACCCTGAATCCGAAACAGAGCACGAACATATGCAAACGTACGATTTGTGGAAAGTTTTCTCGTCTTGCAACTTTGAACAATTGGTCGTGTCTCCACCAGAGGGCAGTCGACTTTGGACCTAACACTGTCATCAGTGTGACTATTAGGGACATTCACATACTTCTTCCTCTCTGCAGTTCCGATCACAATATCGTCCACTTCTAGGTCGGCTATATAACTAATGAAAGGCTATTTATCAGAGCTCGATTTCAGTCGTGTCGACTATGTTAAGCTTAATGACTGTCTAAGCTCAATTGATTTCTGTATCGATGTTTCTCAGAATTGGTTCCCTTTCGGTATTTGACCCCCTCTCCAATACTCTCTATAGGAATACTCTCTATAGGAAAGTCTGCTCCCATATAGACTTCTACACCGAAAGATACTTTGCATATCGAGAACGTCGTTTGCTGAAATGTAACAAGCTTTCTTTCTTCTCTTATTTTAGGGGTAGGATAAGCGTAGCCAGCCCTAAGCCTACATCTAACAAGTGAAGGATACCAGGTCGAAGTGGCCATTTGTAACGAGACATACACCACTAGATGTGTTTTTGGACGCTGATCTCGAATCTGCTCTCCAAATCTGCGAAACGATTCTCTGAACGTAGTTATGAAGCGAGATAGTGCAGTGGCAGCGGCCCGGGCCGACGAACAAGAGGTCGTGAGATCGACTTCTTGGCGAGTTCTCAGCTGCTTTTCTTGAAAACATTGTTCAAAACACATGCTAAATCATCAGCGACTGCCTATCCTATAAGAGGAAGGCTGGCAAAGAGCTTCGAACACTGTGCGCGTCATTTGCCGTGTCCTGTCGGTCGTGTGTGCCCACATTTTCGACTTAGGTCAAAATTTTGGATTTGGACCAAAAGTTGGAAGGGGTAGTTTGATGCGCTGAACACGAAAATCACATCTATTTGGCAAGAAAGTGCATGACGCATGCGCTACGGGTGCCAGAGACGGTCTTGCAAATGACGCGCACAGTGTTCGAAGCTCTTCGCC